AGAGCACCAGCAGACAGATTCTGGCGCGCGGGCGGCTCCGCCAGCAGCGCCGCGGCGCTGCCGCCGTCGCTGGCGCGGCGCGGATGGCCGGGCCGCCGCCGACGGCCGCGCATGGCTGGCCCAGCAAGGCGACGAGCGCGATTGGACCCATCATGGGTGGCCGCAGCAGCTGGGGGAGGGAGAGCGCATCGCGCATGCCTCTGCCGGCCGACGGGCCCTCGGCCAACTCGGGCCCCCCTCCTCTGCGCCGGGAGGCGGGGCCGTGGCGCGGGCTCCGAGGAGGTGCGCCGGCATATTCCTTCGAGTCGGCTTTTGCCGACTCGGCCGCCCGCGCCCCGTGCGCGCCCGATCGCCGATCCGCGTCGAGCTGCCGCTGCCCGCGCGGCGCGCAGCTGCTTCGCCCGCGTGCCCACCCATTCTGCTGCCTGCGACTGCGGCGTCCCTGCCAATGCTTCTGGGTGCCGCGCCGCTGCCTTCCTTCCATGTTTCGCCGATGCCTCCGCGCTCATTGTCAATGGCAGCTAGTGCTGGCTGGCGCCTCCCGCTGCCGCGGCGGCGGCAGCGGCCGCGCGAGCGCCGCCTCGAAGATTCCCGCCCGCTCGCGCAGGCGGCAGGAACATAGCATCCACATTTGCTCTCTTCGACACGACCTCATTCGGCCCGACTTGCAGGCGGCCAGTTCGCGCCCGCGCACTCGTTGGCACGCTGCCGTGCAGCGGCAGCAGAGCGTCTCCCCGTCGGCCAGCGCCGCAGCAGAAACGACCGCATTCCGATTATAGCTACGCTCGAGTCCAAACGATCATGGGCCCCACTTTGATGATGCCGGCGGCAGATCCAGATCTTCTCGTGACCCTCGCGTGCCTGGCAGCGACGGAGCTGCGCAAGGTCGTTGCGCACTTCATGGCGTCGACAGCTTCTACTCCAGAGGCTCCGCCCAACCCTACCACCGCTGCTTCCGCGACCAGAGGCCCCCCCAGCGCACCTTCCGCGCCAGGTGGCGTGTTCTGGGGGGCGCGGCCGCGCGGTGACGAGGAGGGAAGTTAGGCGGTAATGGGATGGGGGAGTGTTAGTGTGCCCCGTTGGAAATCACACGGGCGGCCACTGCCATTTGCCGAGCATTGCCGCCGCGCGCTGCCTGGCGTGAAGGGCGGAGCCATCGCTGAGCTCGGACCGCTTCTCCTGGCCTCCCGAGTAGACGGGGTCGGAGGATTCTGCCGCATCGCCGATGCATTGGCGATGCGGCGCGATCGGGATTTTTTTTTTTTTTTTTTTTTTTGTTTTATCCTGCCCTCGCCGATTCATCGGCGATGTGGCGCAGTGTTCCGACCCCGTCTGCTGTGGCCTTTCTTTTGGAACCCCCCGGCGTGTCACGGCCGCGGCCTTTTTCAGAGGATTCTCTAGGGGAGCGTGAAGGAGGAGGAGGAGGAGGAGGAGGAGGAGGAGGAGGAGGGGGAAGGAGGAGGGGGAAGGAGGAGGAGGAGGAGGAGGGAGGAGGAGGAGGGAGGAGGAGGAGGAGGAGGAGGAGGAGGAGGAGGAGGAGGAGGAGGAGCGCGGCCGTCCTCCCTGCGTCCCCTCCTGCTGGCTCGGAGATGGACGCCCCGCCCCCCTTGCGACCAGCGCTCCCTCTGCTCGCCGCGCGCGCTCTTCTGCGGCCCGCTGCGCGCTGCCGCCGCAGGCGCCCGCCCCTTCTTTGGGCGAAAAATCAAGAACACCCCAAAACAATGCACCCAAAATGTTCAGAAATGGTTAGAAAGTCGTCCCTGGACTATTCTGTGACTTTTTGTTGAGCATTCCTCCTGGAGGGGGCCACGCCCGACTTGAAGTCTGGGGGGAGGGTGGTGGGCCCGCGCCGAGGTGGGCCGCGCCCGCGCTTCCCCTGGGGAGGGCGGGGCCTGCGCCCGTGCCCCGCCCGACACCGCTGCCGCGGCACGTGCGCCCCTATTTTCCCGATCCTCGCGGGTGTCATTCTCGTCTTGAGCAGAGCACTGCGCGGGGGTGAACCTAAACAGTGCTTTTCGTTTTCGTTCTGTTCTCGTTCTCCCCAGTTTTGTCTTCCACCTGCCCTCTGCTGCAGCACGAAACCGAAACGAAGACGGCCCACGAGATCGCCAAAACACCGTTTAGGTCCACCCGTGGCACTGCGGTCGCGACGCCGTCCTCTCCTCTCTTTTCCTCCCTCCCTCCATCGCTGCGGCTTCAGGCCCACACGGAAAGGCGTGGGAAGTGCCCCACCATGCACCGCGCACCCACAAAGCAGGGCCACGAGAACCTTTCACAAATTCACCGCGGCCGGCATTCGAGTCTTGCAGGCATGATGCAAGCATGCGCTGGGATGTCAGGGCTGCACGGAGGGTCCTCCTGCGGGCTCTTATGGCCGCACTGCGGGACACTGCGTTTCCATTTTCCTGAAGCCTTCCTCCTCCTCCCTCTCCTCCCTCCTCCCGTTTCCTGCCTGCTGCATCCTTTGGCATTGTTTTCTCATATTTCGTGCCTCCTGCCTCTTCTTGCTTGCTGTCTCCTTGCGTCCTTTCTTCGTACCTTTCTTAACGGGGGGTTGCGAACTGCGCAACTGTCGCCAACTTCATGGCTCCTGGGAGGCACGGTGCAGTGCAGGGCGACGCGGATTACTTTGAAACCTCGCGGTTCCGTCGGGCTCCGTGGAGGCACGGTGGAATGCGTGGCAACGCGGCTCATTTTGATGATATTTCGCGGTTTCGTCGGGGGCTGCGAATTGAGCAATCACGTCGTGCATGGCGCTGTCGTCAGTGGTCCATTCCCTCTTCTTCAGGTGCCCGTCGCCCGCAGTAGCAACATGAGTTACCCGAGCAGCTGTAGCGCATGGTGCTGTTACTCTCGTCAGTATTGCGTCCCCCTCCGTCGCCATCCTCCTCGTCATCTCTCCCCTCTTGTGCTCATGGCCAATTTTTGTCTTCGTTCTATGTTCCTTGTCGTGCGTGTCGTCGCCGCCCCTTTTGCGATCTGAGTTGTGCAGGTGTGCGACGCGAGTGGTTCGACATTGTTTGGCAACGCCGCAAAGGTGATGCATACAACGCGTTTTTTTTGTGTTTGGGGGGGGGACGGGGCGTTCGTATCAGTAGCCGCCTCGCGTGGGGAAAAGGTTGGGCACGCCTTCGATAACGCTGTTTCGCGTTTTTTCCCCAACCATCCTATGGGTTGGGTCCCCGTTTTGAAGAGAGCGCCCCGCGTCACTCCTTTCTTCCCCCTTTCCTCCTCCCATCATTGCCTCTGCCTTCCGCATGTTCGTGTCGGCACAGCCCCCACACGCTTCGTGGCCCCATAGGGGGCGCCACCGAAGTCCCAGCGGCAGGGCCCGCGTGGCACGCCGCTCACACGTCTCGTGATGCCACAGGGGGCGCCACCGAATGCCCCACCGGCAGGGTCCGCATGGTGGCCCCGCACTCATTGCGGCACGCCCATCAAACGTTTCCTGGCCCCATATGGAGCTCCAGTGGCGGCCCCAATGGCAGGGCCAGCATGGCGGCCCCGCGACTATTTCGGCGCACCCCTCACACGCTTCGTGGCCCCACGAGGGGTTCCACTGGAAGCCCCAAAGGCAGGATCCGCATGGCCGCCCCGCGCTTATGTCGGCGCACCCCTCAACCGTTTCGTGGCTCCATGGCAAAGCCACCGAAGGCCCCAGCGACAGGGTTGCGTGGCGGCCCCGCACCGATGTCGGCATGTGTTTCGCGCGTTCCGTGGGGGCGCCACCGAATGCCTCATCGGCAGGGTCCGCATGGTGGCCCGCAGCAGCTGTTCCGGCACACCCGCCAAACGTTTCCTGGCCCCATGGGGGGCTTGCCGGACTCCTCCAGCGGAAGGGTACGCATGGCGGCCTCGCAACCACGTCGGCATACCTTTCAGAAGTTCCGTGGCCCCATTGGAAACTGCCCCTCCTTCGTCTGACCTGCCTTGCAGTACTCGCACACGTATACGGTTGGGTGCTTCGCCTGGCTAAGTTGTTGTGTTGTTTTGTCTTACCACTCTGGACCCGGCTACGTCCTTCCTCTCCCGTGCAGCACTATTTGGCACCAGCGTCAATGCGAGTGCAACCGCAACCGCCAGGTCCCCCGCCTTCTTTTCTGCCTGCGCGACCTCCTCTCGCCGTGCCGTCGTTCCTTCACTCGCCTCCCTACATGTCAGTTGCGTTACCCGAGCAGGATCAAGAATTAGTTCCCCCTCTCCACGTGGGTTTTCGGCCTCGCGTAAGGGTTCGATGGCATCGGTCACCAGGCATATCCGCCTCCAGCGACAGCGACAAGAGAGGCATGATGAGTAAGAGGGGGTCAAGGAATCACTGACCAGACCGCCACACCAGACTGAGGACGTAGCCAGTACAGGTTTGGGCAAGGCGCAGGAACTTTTGCGGCGGCCTCTCGAGGCGCGCATGCGTGACAAGCTGAACGCGATTCGTTATCGCGCCACACTGTTTCTTCTATAGTGTCTCGGTTGTGTGATCACCTGTTGTGCATCGTTGCTTGCGCCGCGCTCTGCGGGATGACCCGTGCTGTGTTCCGCTTGAGTGAAGAGTTTGTTCCATGCCGCTAACCTTGCAGGACCTCTTCGAGGTCTCTCAGCCACTCTTTCGGACGTGCTGAGCGCCTTTAGGGCTTCTGCCAGGGGCTTCTGAAGCCCGTTGTGGGCAAAATGAGGCAATCCTTGACGATAGTGGAGGCCTTGTTGGGTCGTGTTGGAAGCCCTCTTCGGCATCTTGGAAGCGTTGGAGACCGCTAAGGAGGCCTCGGGATTCCCACGGAGCCTGCCCCTGGTCGTTCGTTTGAGGGAGGGGGCTGAAGATACCGAACACACAGCCCGGCGACAAATATTAGCATCACGTCGCTCCATTGCGCGCCATGGCGATCTAGTGGTGGTAAGCGCAAGGGAAAATTGCATATTCGGGGGTCGAAAGGGCCACCAGGGCAGTTTTTAGCGGGCTTGAGCTACGCGAGCATACAGGGTTGATTTTACTGCCGCGGCCCTAGGATTGCCGCCGTGCGAGTGGTGGTATCGAAGCCCGAGGGCGAGCGGGACGAGCGAGACCTCGAGGTCCTGGAGGGCCACCTCCGGAAGTCCGCGCTCTTCGAGAGCCTGAAGCCGGACTTGCTGAAGGAGGTGGCCGCCAAGGTCAGGCTGCGGCATTTTCAGACGGGCGACGTGGTCTGCAGGGAGCAGAAGAGGCTGGGGGGAGTATACCTCGTGCTGAGGGGTACTGCCTCGGTGCGCGCCGGCTCCTACGCCGGGCAGTCGGGCTCGTCTTCCAACCACGGCGAGCAGTCGGTTCGGGGGCCGGGCTCCCTGATAGGGCAGCAGGAGGTGCTGACCCACGGCGGCGTCCTGTGTCCCTCCGCCTGGGGTGACTGCCCTAGCCTGTGGACGGCCTTGGCGATCTCGCCCCTGGAGGTCCTCTTCCTGTCCGCCGAGGCTGGGAGGGGGAACAGGTACCGATGCCGCTGCCCTCCCCTCCTGGCCACGGCTAGATTCGCCTCGAGGTCCTGGAGAGGGCCAGGGCAGGGGGCCACATGCGAACCCCACCCCTACCCCCCACGATTTCCGAGGGGGAGGGTGGGGTTCGCACGTGGCCCCCTATAGATTCGCCTCGAAGTCCTGGAGAGGGCCAGGGAGCAGCGGCATCGGCATCTGCCGGTGCCTCCGGAGGCGGCCGCGGAGGCGCTCGGCAGGCGCGCGCTCGCGGAGAAGCTGGAGGCGATCCTGCTCTTCCCCGCGGCGAGGAGGTGCAGCCCCGCGGAGCTCCGGGAGAAGTCCAAGGTTCGGCTCGATCGAGAGGGGCACGGGAAGAGTGGGGGGACGGAGGCCGACACGCCTTTTCTCCTGTCCGCTGTGAGCAGGGCTCGCCGTCGGTGTCGTCGCGGACACTGTCCACACGAGGCAGACGGCCGCCTGCCCAGCAGCGGCCGTTGCCGGGTTTGGACAGCGTCTGCTGTTGGGGTATCGTGCCAATTGTGTCCGTGCCCATTTCGGGCGTGCAAAAAGGTGGCTCGCAAGGGCGACAAGGTGCCACTGCACGCCCTGTTCGAATTGATGGATTCCCCGCGCAATCACATCTTTTACAGGGCGGGAGACAAGCTGCCTCCAGACCAGTCGATGGTCGGGCTCGTGGTCGAGGGGTCTGTCCGCCTGAAGGAGGAGAGGGGTGGCCGGGAGACTTTCCTCGAGGCGGGGGCCACGTTCGGTGAGGAGCCGCTCAGGGGGCAGCCCTACGAGGCCACCGCGCAGGCTCGGGGGTCTGAAGAAGATGGGGCCCTGAGGGGTGGGGCCCCAAGGGTAGGAAAGGGCTTCCAGGTCGAATTCGAGTTCTTCAAGGCCTCCCCGCCCCGGGGCCCCACGTCTCGAGGCACCAGTCTTTGAGGTGCCGACAGGTGGTTTCCAAGCACGCGTCGGTGCTCCTCATCAGCGCCGCCGACTACGTCGCCCAGTTCCTCGGGGGCAGGCTGAGGCCTCCCGTACAGCCGCCGGCCGAGCTCGAAGAAGACAGATCAGTATAGGCATCACCTTTCGGAGCGCTCGGGTGTCTCGGATCTGCGCCAGGTACTGGCGCGCGCAGCGCGGCGCGGGAGGCGCGGCCAGGGGGGGGGGGGGGGGCCGCGAAGCAATCACCTCTGGCTGCGCCTCTGGCGCCACACCTGGCTTCATCGGCCGGGCGTCCCCCCTCCCCCTTTCAGCCACGCGCACAAGGGGGGGTGGTAAAACATGGCTAGGATCGGGATAAATCGCTCCAGAGCGTTCCGGAGCGCTCTCAGAGCGTTCTGGAACGCTCTGGAGCGGCCGCGGCACCCAACACATCCTCCAAACCCGCCGATTCTCAGAGATTTCGAGTTGTCCCGATCCGATTTTGTCCTGATCTTCGCGTCGTTTTAGGTGGGGGGAGGGGGGAGGGCTTCTCAGAAGCACCCCTGCTTCTCAGGAGTCGCGGGCCTTGTTTATATAGCTGCAAGGCCCGCGCCTTCTGAGAAGCGGCTCCCTTCGGAGCAGCCCTCCCCACTGCCTCCACCCTTCTGTGCGCGCCGCGAGCCCTGGCTGCGCCTCTGGCGCCGTGGGGCGCGGGGCCCCTGGGCCGAGACAGGGCAGCCACAGCTGGGGGAGCTGTGGCCCTTGCTCCCCTGGGGGGCCCATTTCGACAGCCCTCTCGAGAGATCGTCGAGGCGATGGGTTCCCCCAGGGGGGTGAGGGCCACAGCTTCCCCAGTCATGGCTGGTCGGGTAGAGGGGGGGGGCTTCTTTGAAGCACCCCTGCTTCCTAGAAGGCGCGGGCCTTCTCTACAGATGTAAGGCCCGCGCGTTCTAGGAAGCAGTCCCCTTCCAAGAAGCCTTCCCCCCTCCCCCTACCCCTCTCTGCGCGCCGCCAAACACAGCAGGTTTGTGTCGCGTCGGCGCGGCGACGACACCAGCGCGGGCGTGCAAGGTTGAACGTCGCCAGCTGCCCAGAATCGGCCAGCATGGAACGATCTGACGATCGGAGGGCCGCCGATCGCGATCGCTCGAGGCTGAACGACCCGCGCGGTGTCAGAAACCGCCGCCGGGGTCGTGCCGTACAGTCGGGGCCCTGAAGAAGGAACCCTTTTTGTTGGAGAGGGGCTCCGCGCTCCGGAATTGTGTCGCAGTTTGCCTCAGGTTGTCCCTAGGCTTTCGATGGGAAATCGAAGTTTACCCCATGGAAAAAAGGGGCCCTCTTGGGCCGTCGGGGGGCCCTCTTGGACCGGGTTTCTGCCTCTTTGGGGGGCCATTGGGGCCGTCCTGGCACAATCTTTGGGGCCTCCTGGGCCGTGTTGGGCCCGGAAAGGCGAGAACCCGCAAAAAAAACAAAAAACCTAGGGAAATCAATGGTTTGGGGCTCCTGAGGCCCTCTCGAGGGTCTCTTGGGGCAGTCTTGGGGCAGTCTTATCGTTCCTTAGGTCACCGCCCCGACTGCATGCCTGTGCCGATGTCTCTTCTTCTGCCAGCCGCAGCCGCGGCGGCCGCTCTCGCCACGCACCGCCCGGGCCCGCCCGGGCGGCGTGCTCCAGGATCGGCGGCGAGCGGGGGGGGGGGGCGAGAAGGGGCGGGCCCTCTCGGAAGGCCTCCTGCTCCTCCTCCTCCTCCTCCTCCTCCTCCTCCTCCCCCTCCTCCTCCTCCTCCTCCTCCTCCCCCTCCTCCTCCCCCTCCTCCTCCTCTCCTCCTCCTCCTCCTCCTCCTCCTCCCTCCTCCTCCCCCTCCTCCTCCTCGTCTTCCTCCTCGTCCTCCTCCTCCTCCTCCTCCTCCTCGTCCCCCTCCCCAGGCCTGCTGAGTTTTCGAAGCCTCCCCCGACGGCGCAGGAGGCTCCTCGGAGGGCGCGAGGGCCTCCGGGGAGTCCCGCCGCCTCCTCGGCAGGCCTTCTCCTCCAGGGGGCCACATGCGAGCCCTGCCCCTACCCCCCACGAGTCCTGAGGGGGAGGGCGAAGTGGACCCCACCCTCCCCCTCAGAAATCGTGGGGGGTAGGGGCAGGGCTCGCGTATGGCACCCTGCCCTGGCCCTCTCCAGGACCTCGAGGCGAATCTAGCCGCGGCCAGGAGGGAAGGGCCCCCGCTCGCCGCCGCCAGGAGCTGCACGCGGCAGGACGCAGGCAGGCCGCGCAGAGGGCCGACCGGCAGGCCCTCCTCGCGGAGGAGCGGCGCCCGGTGCGCCCCGGGCGGCCCGGCCGCACGCGGGCCGCCGGGGCCCAGGCCGTGGCGCCGGGGTCGGCCCGCGAGAGGCGGTGACGTCGGAGGCGACGGCAGAGGCGAATGTGTCCCAGCCCAGAGGGGAGCAATTCCCTGAGATCCGACGCTCCAGCAAGAATCGGAGCAGGCGGTTTTTGGCAGTCTTCGGCCTCCAGGGGCCCTCGCCGGGCCTCGGGAGCGTCAGGACAGGATGCAGGGCGACAAACGGGTCCTGGGGAAGTGGTCCGCAGCTCCTGGGTCCACGCACCCAAAAAATTGGAGCAGCCGGATGTCTGGGTACGGCAGGTTCGTGTCTTTCGAGGCCTCCCAGATGGGGTCGGAGCAGATGGGGTCGGAGGATCGCGCCGCATCGCCGATGCATCGACGATGCGGCTCGATGCGGAGCCCGACTTGCTTCACGCTGACGTCGCCGATGCATCGCCAGCGTCGCTGGTGCATCGCAAACGCATCGCCGATGCATCGGCGGCGATGTATCGGCGATGCGTCGGCGATGCATTGGCGATGTGGTGCGATCCTCCGACCCCATCTACTCCGACCCCATCTAGGTTTGTGGAAGTCGATTAATTAATGGAGAGGAAGCATGCTGCCAACTACTTTCCACATGTTCAACAGATGTTTAAAACATGTTTTCAAAATACATATATATATATATATATATATATGTAGCGGTAAAAACGTGTTTGAAACGTTTTTTTCCCTACCTAGGCTCTGCCCAGAAGGGTTTTTACTCGCTTGGCTTGAAGGGGCCGGGCAGTGCAAACCGCCCTGGGCGGTTCCCCCAGTCCCCTGGGAGCCAAGCAAAAGCAACAGCAAAGGTAAAAGCAAACGCGCGGTTCCCCCAGTTGCGCTCCCTGGGTGCCAAGCAACAGCAAAAGCAAAGGCAAAAGTGAAGGCAAAAACGAAGTCAAAGCAAACGCATAGCATAGCATAGCGTAGCATAGCATAGCATAGCATAGCGCAGCATAGCATAGCGCAGCATAGCATAGCATAGCATAGCATAGCATCGCCTAGCCTAGCCTAGCCTAGCCCAGCCCAGCATAGCATTGCGCAACATAACGTAGTATAGCATAGCATAGCATAGCATAGCGCAGCACAGCATCCACTATTGCTGCTGCTATGTGTGTATATATACATATATATATATATATATATATATATATATATATGTACTTGGTGTGTGTGTGTGTGCGTGTGTGTGTGTGCGTGTGTGTGTGTGTGTGTGTGTGTGTGTGTGTGTGCGCGCACGTATGTTCCATGCATGTTGTCCGTCTGTGGGCCATCTTGAGCCCTTACTGGGGCAGCTTGAGCCCTTTGGATTCACGAAGGTTTCTCACATAGCACCGGCCGGGAGAGATGAAACCCGACGTATTATCGCATGTCCTAAATGTCTTACTATATATGCAAATATATGTGTATATATACATAACACCCATGTGGAATGCTGCATGTGTGTGTGTGTGTGCGTGTGTGTGTGTGTGTGTGTGTGTGCATGTATTTGTTCAGCACCGCGTCGTAATGCCTTTCATCCTCGTTGCCGTTTAGCCTCAATTCCGTGACTCGCAGAGCCACGCAAGAGCGTGCAGCAGTGTATGCGTCATGCGGGCATTCTACTACTACTACTACTACTACTACTACTACTACTACTACTACTACTACTACTACTACTACTACTACTACTACTACTACTACTACTACTACTACTACTACTACTACTACTACTACTACTACTACCGCTACTGCTACAACTACGACGATGAGGAGAAGGAGGAGGACGGCGTTTACCGCTCCTACTAATGTTGCTTTCCTAGAGGCTCCAACTCCTAGGTAGGGTCGCACTGGGATGTTGTTTGTCAGAAACAGATCATTTTAAGCATTTATTTCCTTCAATGATAGGATTGTTAGAGTGTCCATTCTCATGGCATCCACAAATCTAGGTGGCCTCTAGTCTTGCCTCGGGGAACTCAGAAACGCGGATTAAGGCGCGTTGGTCAGCTACGCGTCCCGTTTCCATGCGAAACCAAAGAACTCCGTCGAGGCGCGTTGGTTAGCTACGCGTCCCGTTTCCATACGGCGCCGACGCGCCCCGTCGCCAAACCATTCGGCACCTAGCATCGTGTCTGTTTTGGGGGTGCTTTCCTGATCCATGTCAGCGTGGGTCCGAGCTTCGACGCGGCGGCGACCCCAGCGCGGGCCTTCCAGGTTGAACGCCGCCACTGGCTGGAACTGGCCGATGTTCAAAACGATCCGCGCTGTCGGGAGGGCCGCCGATCGCTCACGGTTGAACGATCCACGCGGTGTCAGAAGCCAACGCCAGGGTCGTCACGACACGAACTTGTCGCACATGTATGTATGTATGTATGTATGCATGTATGTATGCATGTAGGTAGGTAGGTAGGTAGGTAGGTCGGTAGGTCGGTAGGTCGGTAGGTCGGTAGGTCGGTAGGTCGGTAGGTAGGTAGGTATGTAGGTATGTAGGTATGTAGGGTAGGTATGTAGGTATGTAGGTATGTAGGCATGTAGGTATGTGGGTAGGTAGGTATGTCGGTATGTCGGTATGTCGGTATGTCGGTATGTAGGTATGTAGGTATGTAGGTATGTAGGTATGTAGGTATGTAGGTATGTAGGTATGTAGGTATGTAGGTATGTAGGTATGTAGGTAGGTAGGTAGGTATGTATGTATGTGTGTATGTGTGTATGTATGTATGTATGTATGTATGTATGTATGTATGTATGTATGTATGTATGTATGTATGTACGTATGTATGTATGTACGTATGTGTGTATATATATATATATAGATGTATATGTATGTATGTATATATATATATATATATATATATCCCATGGGTACCAATGGTCCACGTCTGCGGCAAGGCTCCCCAGCGCAAATGTGGAAGGCCCGCCTCTGGGCGATTCGCCCCCGCCGTCGCCTGTGGGGCGAGCGGCGCGGCGCGCGCGCGCGCCAGCGGGATTTCCAGCGGCCCAGCCCTCCCGCCGCTCCCCGCCCCCCTGCTCCCCTGACACCTGCGCGTTGCGAAAGAGTCATGGCGGAAGTTCTTTTGGGCGATCTTCGGTTTCCGGGGGCCCTCACTGGGAGGCCGTCGAAGAACGACTCAGGATGGCGAGCTGGTCCTGGAAGGCTTTTTTGGGGGCGATGTTCAGCTATCGGGGGGCCCTTGCTGGGCCCCTGGGCCGTCAAGAGAACGACTCGGGATGGAAAGCCGGCTCTGGGCAGGGGGGGTGCAGGCTCCTGGGGAGCTACGCCGTGAAAGAGCCATAGCGTCGAATGTGTGGGCCCCTGCCCTCCTTCTCCTCCTCCTCCTCCTCGTCCTCCTCGTCCTCCTCGTCCTCCTCGTCCTCCTCCTCCTCCTCCTCCTCGTCCTCCTCCTCCTCCTCCTCCTCCTCCTCCTCCTCCTCCTCCTCCTCCTCCTCCCCCTCCTCCTCCCATTCCTCCTCCCATTCCTCCTCCTCCTCCTCCTCCTCCTGCTCTCCTCCGCCCGCTCCCTCCCCCCCTGGGGGACCTGGCCCTTGCAAGTGTTGGGCGCAGGATCGATGCGTGTGCCCCCCTCTGGCCAGGCCAGGAAGGGTCGGTGTACCGATCCCTTCTGCCTCCCCCCCCTTCTCATCCCACTCTCCACTAGCCTGCCGCTCCTCCTCCTCCCCCTCGTGTCCTCCTCACTCCCGGACTGCACTCCGACGCCATCTCCCTCCCGGGGGCCTGGGTCACCACCGACCTCTCCGAGGCGGGCCTGGTGCACCCAAGACCCGCAATTACGGATGAGAGTGAGGGGCGCCCGCGCTGCGTCGCCGAGGGAAGGCAGCCAACGAGCGCATTGCGAGGTGTGCCAGGGGCTGGGTCGCTCGGCGGGCCCTCGGCGGACCGCGCGGGAAGGGGCATTCCACGGTGCTTTCAGGAGCTGGTGCCAGGGAGCCCGCCGCAGGCGCCGAGCTCATGCTCACAAAGCAGTGTGGGTGGGTTCGGGGTGGGTAGTCGGCGAGTGGGGGTCGCGGCGCGGGGCGCGGGTGGATCGTGGGGCGGCTCGCGAGTGGGTCACGGGGCCAGGCCCGTGGGTGGGTCACCGAACTGGCCGCTGGTGGGTCGCTGGGCAGGTCATGGATGGGTCCCCTGGGGGGTCGTGGTGCTGGTGGCAGGTGGGCCGCGGGTGGGCCGCGGGTGGGTCGAGGGTGGGTCGAAGGAAGGGTCACGGGGGGTCTCCCAGGCCGGGTCGAGGGTGGAACGAGCTTGGTGATGGCGTCGACGAGCGACGACGACGACGAGTGGCGGAGGTCGACGAGCCACGGCGACAACGAGTGACGCCGAGCGACCACGACACGGACAACGAGTGGCGACGACGACGACGACGACGACGACGAGGGGTGCCAAGCGACGACAACGACGAGTGACGACGACGGGTGACAACGACAAGGAGCGAGCGAGGACGAGAGACGACGACCACGACGAGTGACGACGACGATGACTAACAGCGAAAGGAACGACGACGGTTGACGGGCGACGACGAGTAGCAATGACGAAGACGACGAAGATGGCGACGACGGCGAGTATGACCACGACGACAAGGGCTCCTCTCCGGCGCCCCCCGGAGCTCGTGGGCCTCGTCTGCCCCACCCCCTCCAGGGTCGACGCCTCCAGGGGGGAGAAGTGAAGGCTTGCACCTCGCCTGGAGGGAGAAGCGAACGGGTGCGAGGTGTAGAAAATGTTTGCCAGGGTGGACCCCAGGCAGCTGGGTCTTGCACTCTCGATGTGCACACCATGCGGTGCGACATATTTGGTGCAAGGTATGCGGAGCAAACTCTGTGGTGCAATCTCTCTCTCTCTCTCTCTCTATATATATATATATATATGCATGTGGTGCACTCTCCTTGGTGCGATCTATGCGTTGCAATTAATCTTTGACCGTCTTGAAGCTGTCCTCTCCACCGCTCGTGCAAACATCCCACCCTTCCACCCGCAACTTTGTCGCAAGACCTTTTAAGACAAGACCGTGACGGTACGTACCACATGACACTTGGCCACGACACCGACG